TGTGTTCCATCTTACGAGCTAAACCCTAATGGGATGTCCAGCATCTTGCATGTGTGTAATGTTTTGTTCCCACTAGGGGGCGCGCTTTGATACTTTCATGACACTGGGTGGGAGAGCCGTCGCTCCTGTCCCACCTCCTTCTGGACTTCTCAGATGCTGTGCAGAGTGTCACAGATGCTCCTTGTCTAGATCAGCTGCCATGTTGGAAGGCCAGGAATTCAACTACTATGTTAAAATCTCGTTCTTAGGTTTTATCTGTAATGGTGAGGCACCTTGTACACTGCTTGATACATGGTGTGTCCTCGACAAACATTGGTTCCCTTTTCTGTAACTTATTTGTCATTTCCAGACTCAACGTTCTACCCATACAGTCCTCCCCACCTCAGATACACACACACACAAATACTAACACACTCCGTGGCCATCTGCACCTGTGGACAAGGGTGGTGAGGTGGGTGGGGATGCCCTGTGTGGGCGCGAGGGTTAGGTAAGTGGCACAAACGTGTCAGAGGATGCTTTGGCCCTCGCTTTCAAATTGCAGACATCTCAAGCACGCATTCTCTTCCAGCCTAGCAGTTCCATCTCCATCCCTCCACACATGTGCACGGAGGCCTGTGGCCCCCTTGTTAAAATAGCAAGACAGTTGTCATTCATAAGGACTCATCTAGTAGCCTGAGGTTTGTGCAGACTGGAATGATTACTAACCTGCAATTGAGTAAGCCAGTTGTAGGCGAGTGCTTAGAATACGTTCTGTGTAAGTAAACACACATAAAGCAATACCAAATTTTAAGTATATCTAGGGTATTTCGATGCATATGTGTGTGCTCATAGGAGAAGGACTGGAAAGACACTCACACTGATGGTGATGGTGCCTTTCTCTTGGAGAGGAGGACGGGATCAGGACAGGACAGGTGCCCACAGAGGACACATGGGTAGTGTTTCCGTAGCATCTATTTACATATTTTGGGGTAGCTGAAGATTTAAAATAAGCAGACAGATCTCTCTGAAAACTTCAAGGGAATCCTGGAAGATTTCTCAGGATTTTTCAGTGCTTTTAATTGGTACCTGGTTCATGTTTTAATTAAGTTTTGTGTTACTTAGATTTATCATTTTTTAAAAAAGTAAATTTTGTGAAAACCTGTGGATCGGCATTCGTTTTTCTTTCATAATGCATAGTCGCCAACTTCATTCTGTTGTTAATTATTTCCTGTTCTGCTTCTAAGCAAGCTAGGAGCCCAGGCCCGTAAATGCACCGAATCCAGTCCTTGTTCCTCTCGAACAGCCAGGAGTGGGGCTGGGAGCACCCTTGTGGGCTGTCATTTACCTCTTACCTGGTTTCCCAGTGTTCCTGCCTGGGCTTTGCCTGTGTCTTGTTCTGGGCCCATGTTCAGAATTCTGTGCAGTAGCTGTTGGGTCAGGTTGCCCTGGCAGATCTGTGGATGATAACCTGAGTTGCCCCTTCTTTTCTCCTCCCAACAGAAGCTGAATGTTACCGACAGCAGGCTGTGCCTTGATAATACATAGAAAGGAGAATGTGGAGGAGAAGGAGCAGTGCAAAAGCACAGGGCTGGGCTCTGGAGCAGGGCTTCTCAGCCCAGCACTAGGCACATTTCGGTCAAGATAACCATTTGTGGGGGGCTGTCCTGTGCATTGTACGTACTTAGCAGCATCCCTAGCCTCCACCCACTAGGAGCTGGTAGCAGCTCTCATTATGACAACCAAAATTGTCTTCAGACCTCACAGATGTCCCTTTGGTAGTGAAAGAGCCTCCAGATGAGAACTACTGCTCCAGATGAACTGGCAACAAAGCAGTTACCCTAAATTACCTGCTTGAATTCTCTGTACTTCACAGTCTATGTCCTGCCTACCAATGACAGGGAACACTGGTTCCCTTAGAGCAAAGGGGATTTTGTCTCGATGGTATCCCAGATTCTGTGCCCTCCCTTTATTATTTCTGTGCAGCTCTGCAAGAACATCCAAACATGACTGGGCATGGTGCTCACACCTATAATCCTAGCACTTTGGGAGACCAACACAGAAGGATCATTTGAGCCTAGGAGTTTGGAACCAGCCTGGGCAATGTAGCCAGACCCTGCCTCTACAAAAAAAAAAAAAAAGAAAATTCAAATGCAAGGGCCGTGGCAGCTGTCCTGGTTAAAGTACCAGGTGGTGGTCATGTCACCATAAGCCTCCTCAAGGAAAAGATGCCTTGCTACTTGGTTTCTCCTGTTACTGGATGTGCAGGGGCAGGTGGCAGCCGTGGGTGGACAGAAAAGGACGTCTTAGCCAGTGTCATTTTGGAACATTTGCAGCAGTTTTTGTTTGTTGGTTTTTAACATTTATTGATTTTTCCCAAGTCTAACATTTGACAAATACAGAGAAAATCATCTCTAGAGACCTACTGGTGACAGTAGAGAGATTAGAGTTGGCGGATAAGTCAGTTTCCTTCTGGAAAAAGTGGGAGGTCCTGGAACCACGGGCTCCTGTGTGTAATGTGGACTGGAGCGTGTCTTTCGGGGTAGCGGTGTTCTGAGTCTACCCATCCCCTCCCCTCCCTGCTGTCTCCTGACTGTTGGGTTTTTCTCAGGTCTGGTTCCCTTCAGCTCTGGAATGGGACTGTGGTTTGAGTCTGGGGTTAAATCCTTGGACAGCCCACTCAACAGCAGAAGGGGGCTCTTTCCGGGGTTATGTGGGAGGGTGCCTGTGACTCCACTGTAGGGTCTGGCACATTGTAAGTGCCCAGTTTAAACTCTGTCACTGTGCCACATCATGGAGCAACCCCTGATCCGTGGCCTTCCAGGCCCTTTCCCAGTGGTACAGGCTTTTTAACCCACCTTTCTTGGAGGCTCTTACAAACCTGTTACTCATTTTCATGGCCGCCTCCGCTTTGCTGAATTAATATGCCATCATTTATTTACACAGTGACCTATACTTGGACGTTTACCCTGCTCTTACGTTTTTTTCCAGCATAAGTACTGTTAGGATAAACAACCTCCATACGTTCATCTTTGCACATGACATGCCTGTGACTTCTCAGTGGTACCGATTCGTTTAAACAGTTCTGTCGCTGGTCACGGTCTGCAGAAACAGCCTAAAACAACATATTAGCGCATTCTTCAGCTCCTCCTGTTTTGTGGTTAAAAAAAAAATTGCAGATTGAGTCACACAACTCTTTTCCCCTCTCCCCAAAGACAAATACCAGTTGAAGTCAGTGCTTCAGAAAGATGCCTGCGTTCATCCTGTGTACTTCGAGGATGCATGGCCTCAGATTCCCTGACTTTGTATTTCAGGATGTTTAACCAAGCTGTTTAAGAAATAATATGCCACACTGTGTCGGTGAGCCCATGGGTTGGCCTTACTTGTATTAATTTATAGACCCACTTGCGTTCATTTGAGTGATGGGCAGTGCAAAGGATGGCTTCGGAGTGAACGGAACTGGGGTTCCCTGGAGACACAGTTGCAATGGGAGGATCTGCCCAGCCCAGCCCCCTTCCGGTGCCAGGTCATGGAGGGCATGGCTAGGCTTCTTCTGGATCAGGGGCCACACCCACTCATGGGTCGGGCCTCCATGGCCAGCAAAGAAGGGCTCACAAAGCACCATCCTTTAGCTGGCAGGATCTCAGTTATTCTGGGGAGGTTGGGAACCATGTGAAAGGATTTCAGCTTTTTAAATACCTTGCCTTCATCATCCCTTTTTTTTTTTCCTTTTAGACGGAGTCTGGCTCTGTCACCCAGGCTGGAGTGCTGTGGCACAATCTTAGCATACTACTGCCTCCCAGGTTCAAGCAGTTCTCTGCCTCAGCCTCCCAAGTAGCTGGGATTACAGGCACCCGCCACTACACAAAAATTAGTGAGACTAATTTTTGTATTTTTAGTAGATGGGGTTTCACCTTGTTGGCCAGGCTGGTCTTGAACTCCTGACCTCGACCTCCCAAAGTGCTGGGATTATAGGCGTGAGCCATCGCACCTGGCTTTTTTATTTTTTAATTTCATTTTTACAGTCTTTTTTTCTTTTTCTTTTCTTTTCTTTTTTTTTTGAGAAGGAGTTTCGCCCTTATTGTCCAGGCCAGAGTGCAGTGGCATGATCTCAGCTCACTGCAACCCCCGTCTCCCAGGTTCAAGCAATTATCCTGACTCAGCCTCCTGTGTAGCTGGGACTATAGGCATGCACCACCATGTCTGGCTAGTTTTTTGTATTTTTAGTAGAGATGGGGTTTCACCACGTTAGTTAGGCTAGTCTCAAACACCTGACCTTAGGTGATTCACCCACCTCGGCCTTCCAGAGCGCTGGGATTATAGGCACGAGCCACTGCACCCAACCTTATTTTCTGTTTCTCTAGTGGCAAAACAGAGAGCAGGGAGAGGAGGTAGCATGATTTTCCCAAGAGATGTACAGATAATAACAGCCGATATCCACGTGGGATCTGCAGGCGCAGCCACCTTCCGTTCACCCCTGGTCTCACAGCAGCCCTGGAAAGAGGCTGCTCGATGTTGGAAGCCCAGGGCCAGTGCTGGAAGGAGCTTGGGTGGAAAGTGTGGTCTGCGTGAGGGACTCCTGTGAATAGAGGATAGCGGTAGCAGTTACGAGACTTGTCACCACATGATGTGGCAGCTTCGGAAACTTAGCCACTGCCAAAAAAGGAGCAGGCAGGGATGATCTTGCCCCATTGTCCAGTCAGAGAGACCTAGTGAGTCTGTTGTTTGCCCGTTCCTAAGAGACTGTTGGAGTTTTGCTGGAGCCAGACATCCTGCTCAGAGATTTGGAAAATCTGCTGTTTCGTGGGGAGCTTTTGGGGGACCCATACCACCGCCCACCTTCTCGTGATTGCCACTCGCTGCCCTTTTCCCATTACCCCCTCCTGGCTCCATAAGCATCTTCAGCCTTCCCGTCTACACCTCAAAAATGCCACCTGGAAGGGGTGATGGGAGGTTCTCTGGATAAAAGGTGCTGCAGAAAGTGACACTGTAATGAGAATGCCCGTGTGCCTCTTTACCAACAGAAAATTTGGAATATAACGTGGAGCCTCAAGAAATCTCACACCCTGACGTGGGACGCTATTTCTCAGAGTTTACTGGCACTCACTACATCCCAAACGCAGAGCTGGAGATCCGGTATCCAGAAGATCTGGAGTTTGTCTATGAAACGGTGCAGAATATTTACAGTGCAAAGAAAGAGAACATAGATGAGTAAAGTCTAGAGAGGACATTGCACCTTTGCTGCTGCTGCTATCTTCCAAGAGAACGGGACTCCGGGAGAAGATGTCTCCACGGAGCCCTTGGGACCCGCTGCACCAGGAAAGCCACTCCACCAGTAGTGCTGGTTGCCTCCTAAGTTTAAGTACTGTGTGCTCTCCCCCAGCTGCAAAGACAATGTTGCTCTCCGCCTACACTAGTGAATTAATCTGAAAGGCACTGTGTCAGTGGCATGGCTTGTATGCTTGTCCTGTGGTGACAGTTTGTGACATTCTGTCTTCATGAGGTCTCACAGTCGACACGCCTATAATCATTCTTTGTATTCACTCCATTCCCCCGTCTGTCTGCATTTGTCTTAGAACATTTCCTTGGCTGGACAGATGGGGTTATGCATTTGCAATAATTTCCTTCTGATTTCTCTGTGGAACATGTGCAGTCCCGAGTGAGGACTGTGTGTCTTTTTACCCTGAATTTAGTTGCATATTCAGAGGTAACATTGTGTGCTATCTTGGCAGCATCGTAGAGACAGAGACATTAACAAGCTAATGGTAATTAGAATCATTTGAATTTATTTTTTTCTAATACATGAAACACAGATTTGAAGTGTTTATCTTTTTTTTTTAAATTTAAATGGGAATATAACACTTTTCCCTTCCATATTTCTCTCTCGAGTTTATGCACATCTCTGTAAATCATTAGTTTTTTATTACATAAAATTCTTTGAGAAAATGCATAATAGTGAATTTTGTGAATGGATTTTTCCGTATTCATCTACAATTCCTCCCTTTTAAATGACTACTTTTATTTTTTAACTTAAAAAATCTACTTCAATATCAGGAGTAGATCTTAAATCAGTGATGGGTTCTTTTTGTAGTAAGACATAGAAATCTGATGTTAAATGTTTGCTCTTAGAAGTCATCCTCCCTGGTCTCCAAAGACCAAAAAATGAGGCTTCTTCGCTCTTGTGATCAGGAAAAAAAAAATTTGTGAACCTTAAAAAAAAGTTTTTGAAGGGAAAAGAAGTGGTTTCACACCCCTTGTTATTCCTCAGAGTCATTTCAAGGCCTGTTCAATTGCGACAGGTTAGAAAGAGAATGCCTTTCATCTGAAGAGTGTTGGACTCGTGGGAAAGGAGATGTGCGTGTTGTAATCGGCTTTTCCAGGCTGCCAGGGTCCTGACGGCAGCAGGACGAAGCCTGTTGTAATATCTTCTGGGAAAGCCTGACTGTTCACACAGCCCTGGCTCCTTCCCAGAGTTCTCAGTAACTGAGTCTGGAGTACCTGCATGCCTTCATGCAGCTCTGGAGCTCCTCCTCCTCCCAGCCTGCCAGTTCTCGCTTGAGCTAATCTTGTCATTAATTGATAGATGCTAACTTCTGGAGTTAGGACCTAGTTACTTTGCTCTCGACTTTTAAAATAATGCAGTTGCTCTAGTGAATGGGGTGTTAGGGGCCTGTCTGTGCGCCTGTCTGTCCATCTGCATGCAGTATTCTCACCCATGTTGAATGACTGCTGCCTGTTTACCCTTTGGAAACCCTGGGGTGACGGAGGAAAGCCACCTGAGACCACTTCATAGCGAGGGAAGGCTTTAAGCATTTACTAGAAAGAGATAGGGATTTGGCCCTGGCTCCTCCAGCCTGAGTTAGCTGTTATCCACTGTCCACGTTCCTTATGAGTTCAAATCCAGAGTCAAAGGATTTGAACCTGCATTTGGAAATGTGACCACTCACAGCACCTGGCCCACTGAGGTTGGGAGGATTGTACACTACTCTCATTTAAAGGGGAAAATTAGATAATATGGAATTAATATTAATGAGATGCATTACTAAGAAACTGTGAGCATGCTGAGAGTTACAATTGTCAGTTTTCTGGTTTGATTGATTTCCTTTATTCTTAGAAACATCAAAGCCAAGAAAGATGGTTTTACCTTTACTGACCCAACTGTAAATATGTATCTAGACTGTTTTTAAATGTGTTTCTTCATGACTGCTTCATGGGGCTCCAGGAAGCCTGTATCACCTGTGTAAGTTGGTATTTGGGCACTTTATATTTTTCTAAAAATGTGTTTTGGATCCTGTACTCTAATAAATCATAAGTTTCTTTTTAAAAATTTTCCAAAACTTTCTCCATTTTAAAAAGCCCTGTTACAAAAGTAGAACTTTCACAATGTTAAAATGTTAACTATTTGGATATAGCAACTTCTTTTCTCCTCAAATGAATGCCAAGATTTTTTTGTACAATGATTAATAAATGGAACTTATCCAGAGAAACCACACAAATGGACTGCCCAATTTCGTTTCAGGACAGAGAGCTCAGCCACGATGAGAGTGGAATCTCTCTCACCTCTCTTCGGCTCTAAATATGAAAAGTATGCTCTGCTGAAATTTTCTTAACGTTGGTGAGCAGACAGCCTACCTTTAAACGAGGACCTCCTTGCCCAACATTAATTTTATCAGCTCACTAGTAACCTTTGAGAATATCTGGTTGTCATGCAAAGATTGCACTTCTTGAATTATGTTAAGACACCTGTTGTAAAATGAGAACTGCTCATGCTTTAAAAGAAAAACAGGTTCTTGATGCATTCTGTTGCGGTTGTTTTGAATGGCTGCGCTGCATACAGTGTGTCCAGAATGTCCCCTGAGCATTGATTCTGTGTGATGTCACTACCTACTATGTGGGATGTGGGAGGAAAAAGGTTATAGGCTGAACAAAGTCATTTGACTCTTTGGTGGTGTTTCTCCATGCCTTTAACACACAGTACTATCATGACTTTCTAAGAGAAGAATGTAGCGTGCTGTGACATCTTGATGTATTAAACCCTGGAATTTCCCTCCCCTGACACACAGGCCCCATCCCCGGGGGTCCTGTGTTTGCAGACATGCTTCGAGAAGTTGTCTCAGTGAGGTTATCAGTTATGTCCAAAATGAGTCTACCTTAGAATGAGACCGGTTTTGCCAGGTGTCGTGTTTGCAAACAATCCATCTAATCAGATTTTGAAAGGCCAGCTTTCATGTCACCTGCCTGAGACTCCTAACAGATCCCCATTATAATTGCTTTTACAGGGCAAAATTATTTTATTGAGAAAACCACGTTAAGTCCTTTTGCCTGCCCAGTTTTCCGTGGCATGCTATCTACTTAAAGTCTCATTCTCATTTGTAAATGTTTTGATCTCTCTCCACGGAGAAAACAGAACTGCCGTGTTGCAGGCTTTCTGTTGCTGATGTCAGATCTCTTTGCTATAAAGGGGAAATATTTCCTTCCTTAGTCCATACTCCAAGTAAGTGAACTCAACTACCAACAGCTTTTTAACTGAAAAGTATCTGCGACCATGATGATTGAGATGCAGCTCATGTTTTTGTTTATTTTCTCTTTTTTTAATTTTTTGGAGGGAAGAAGAGACATCAGCTGGACAAAATGCAGAATTTGGATGTGGGACAGTTTCTTTTTGGAGACATAAGTAGCTGTACCGTATGTATTATTTTGTGTGGCATGCTAACTTCCAGCTGGGCACTGGCCTAACAAAGTCTTTGTAATCCTCCCAACAATCCTATAAGGCAGAGCCAGACAGTAAAGATGTTAGGCTTTGCAGGCCACGTACAGACTGTCACATGTTCTCCGTTTTTCAAAGTGTCAACAACATTCTTAGCTCAAGGGCTGCACGAAAACAGGCTGCAGGTGAGATGATGCCCACAGGTCATAGCTGGCTGACCCCGGCTAAGTGTAGGCATTAGCATTCCGCTGGATAAAGAGGAAACCCACGTCATTCTGCTTGTGTGTGGGTGGGAAGCCAGATGTGGAATCCAGGTGGTCCCTGAGTCGCCAGGAACCACCGAGATCAGCTGGTCACACCCACACTCTCTGGCACAAGCAGCTGCCTCGCCATGGTTTAGCCTTGGTCTGGCAGCAACTTTAACCTTGAAGGTTGCGTTTCTGAAAATTTAGAATCTCAAAGGTAAAGCACATTCCTTCGGTGAATAAAATTATATGCAGTTATAGAATACATGTATTATGGCCACGTAGCAACGACTGTATTAGCCCTATGCTAGCTCTGTAATAAATAGACCCGAAAAGTGACAATGGCTCAAACACAATAGAACTTTTTTGCTTCCGTAATACTCGGCAGGCGAATGGACTGGCAGGGCAGCCCTTGTTCAGGCATCAGAGGCAGAGTACCCTGGGGCCATCCGTCTCCATCCAACCCAAAGTGGGGTGAGCACAGAGGGATAAGACCCATCTAGGAGCTTCCATGAGCCAGTGCGGAAGCGGCACTCCCTGTATTCACTCCCATTTTGTATGGAGGCGGGAGACATTGTCTAGTTGTGTTCTGGGAAAGGAAACGGAATGATGTGGGTGGAAGCTCTGGTCCACTGCACGGGCCACTCCAGTGTGCTCCTCCACAGCAGGAGACAGCCACGGACACTTAAACCAGGCTGTCCGTGGAGACAGATTTCTCGTCTCCTGCCCAGTCGCTTGTGCCTCAGTAGCACGTGGCTGGCAGTGCGGTACCCTTCAGATGGCACTGCCTGTGTACACTCACCATCTCCACCGCAGATGGCTGCAGAAGCAGGGAGGAGACCTCACGATGTGGGTTATGTACACTGCCTCTGTCTGAACAGCCAGATCTCAAGTGCCCGGCCACGCCCATGTTCCAGAGGAGGTGCCAAATGATTTCCTTCCGGAAGGATTTCTTCCAGAAGGAAGAGAAAAGGTTTGATGGGCACTGACTTTGTGTGTGCCCCACACCCAGAGCCCTCCTTGGTCCCTGTGTCGCACTCAGCCTAGTTTCCCTGGCCTGGCAAGTTCTCTGCATCAACCCAGTATGGCGCCTTCGGGATCCCCACCCTCGGTTCCCATTCAGAGGTGAAGTTGGAACCGGCAGCTGTAATAAGAACTCCCATTTGGGAAAAAGAAAGACTGAAACAGAAGTTGCTGGTCTCTGCAGGGATGAAATCCCACTTGGGGGGACCTTGTGAAGACCCCTGCCTTTATCATGGCAGGGGGGACGTTTCTTGCATAAGTCCTCACTGCTCTCTGGGAGGAACTCCCTGACCTCTGGGAAGTTCTTCCTCAAGTCCCCTCCGCCCTGGTCCCTTCAGAAGTGAGTGTCGGGTGCATCCTGCCTGGGTACTGCCCGACTTTCAAATTCCACTTCCTGTTGGGTGCAGGTTTAGGGGCCTATCCAAGGCTTTTATTTACTTGCTTGTACAACAAGCTTGTGATTCCTCTGGCAATGAGTCCCTCTAAAGTTTGACAGGCTACTAACCTGTTGGTGCCTGTAATCGTAGCCAGCGTTCTTTTCCAGAACTTTCTAGCCTTTTTGTTGGTTTTTTTTTTTTTTTTTGAGACCAAGTTTTGCTCTTATTGCCCAGGCTGGAATGCAGTGGTGCAATCTTGGCTCACTGCAACCTGCGTTTCCTGGCTTAAGTGATTCTCCTGCCTCAGCCACCCGAGGAGCTGGGATTACAGGCACACACCACCACACAGGGCTAATTTTGTGTTTTTGGTAGAGACTGGGTTTCCCCATTTGATTAGGCTGGTCACAATCTCCTGACCTCAGGTGATCCACCTGCCAAAGTGCTGATTACAGGTGTTTAATGGGCCTTTGTTGTTCAGTGATTTTCTTTTCTGTTATTGAAACGGAGCCTCACTCTGTCGCCAGGCTAGAGAGCAGTGGCACAATCTCAGCTCATTGCAGCCTTCAACTCCCGGGTTCAAGCGATTCTCCTGCCTCACCCTCCTGAGTAGCTGGGATTACAGTTGCATGCCACCACACCCAGCTAATTTTTGTATTTTTAGTAGAAATGGGTTTCACCATGTTGGCCAGGATGGTCTTGATCTCATGACCTTGTGTTTTGCCCGCCTCAGCCTCCCAAAGTGCTAGGATTACAGGCGTGAGCCACCATACCTGGCCTTTTTTTTCTTTTTCTTTTTTTGAGACAGAGTCTTGCTCTGTCACCCAGGCTGGAGTGCAGCGGTGTGATTTCAGCTCACTGCAACCTCCACTTCCTGGGTTCAAGCAATTCTTGTGTCTCAGCCTCCTGAGTAGCTGGGATTACAGGTGTGCACCACCACTTCCAGCTAAGTTTTGTATTTTTAGTAGACAGAGTTTCGCCATGTTGACCAGGCTTGTCACGAACTCCTGGCCTCAAGTGATCCACCTGCTTCGGCCTCCCAAAGTGCTGAGATTACAGGCGTGAGCCACTGGTGTGGCCAGTGTTCATTCTCATCTCGTTGTTGTGCAGAAGCAGTGGCCTTTTGCACATGGGACACCTCGGATTTCAGTCTCTTTTCCATTTTAGTTCTCAAACCAGCGCATTTTTGCTTCACTCCTGTTTTTCTTTCCCACAAAGTAGGTATAATTATATCATTTTACTTAATTAAAATGTTTTCGTTAAGTAGAATAGTAATAATTATAATATCTGTCTGGGTGCAGTGGCTCACACCTGTAATCCCAGAACTTTGGGAGACTGAGGTGGGAGGATCGCGTGATGCCAGGAGTTTGAGCAGTTTCCCTGGTGATAAATGGCAAAGAGCAATCTACGTTCCTTGTATTCCTTGTCTCTTTTGGCTGCTTTCTCTAGACTGGCTGCAGGGCTAGTGGTTCCACCCTGCAAATTGAAAGCAACAATTTTACCAAGTCTGACCCCAAATAGAGTTCTTCAGCGTTTCGGCCTCTGGGAGGCATTTCCTTGCCACTTGACTGCCAGGCTAACACCATAGAGTTTAGGGTTTTGATACAGTGGGGCCCCTCTCGATGGTTTTGTTTTTATTATTAAGCTTAAAGTGGGCTAATATTTCCATAGGAAGTTCTACTTTCTATTTGGCTGTGCAATTGAGAAAAACCCTGAGAACAGTGATTCAGGTTTCTGGGAGTGGGAAGAGCTGCACGTCATTTAGTAAACGCAGGGAAGGAAGTTGCACAGAATACAGAAAGGAGAAATTTTGGGAGAAGGAGCTGGGCAGTCTCATTGTAGAATCCTTGCATGGTTAGAATTTCCAGCTGGGCACAGTGGCTTTGATAATCCCAACACTTTGGAAGGCCAAGGTGGGAGGATTGCTTGAGGTTAGGAGTTTGAGATCAGCCTGGGCAATATGGCAAGGCTCCCATCTCTACAAAAAAATTAAAAATTACCCAGGTGTGATAGCTTACGCCTGTAGTCCTAGCTCTTCCTAGGAGGCTGAGGCAAGAGGATTGCTTGAGGTTAAAGCTACAGTGAGCCGTGATGGCGCCACTGCACTCCAGCCTGGGTGACAGAGCAAGACTATCTCAAAAGAGAAAAGGAAAAGAGAAAGAAAGAATTTCCACCTACTTGTTTTGGGCAGGGTGAGACAGAGTCTCACTATGTCACCAGGCTGGAATGCAGTGGCACGATCTTGGCTCACTGCAGCCTCTGCCTCCTGGGCTCTTGTGTCTCAGCCACCCAAGTAGCTAGGACTACCAGTGCATGCCACCACACCCGACTAGTTTTGTATTTTTAGTTACTGTGAATAGTGCTGCTGTGAGCATGCCATGAAATGATTTTATTTTTATTTTTACTTTTTAATTTGTTTTGAGATGCAGTCTCACTCTGTCGCCCAGGCTTGAGTGCCGTGGCACGATCTTGGCTCACTGCAGCCTCTGTTTCCTGGGTTCATTTGATTCTCTTGCCTCAGCCTCCTAGGTAGCTGGGATTACAGGTGTGCACCACCACGCCTGGCTAATTTTTCTTTTTCTTTTTCTTTTCTTTTTTTTTTTTTGAGGTGGAGTCTTGCTCTGTTGCCCAGGCGAGAGTGCAGAGGCATGATGTTAGCTCACTGCAACCTCTGCCTCCTGGGTTCAAGCGATTCTCCTGTCTCAGCTTCCAGAGTAGCTGGGATTATAGGCGCACATCATCATGCCCAGCTTATTTTTGTGGTTTTAGTAGAGATAGGATTTTGCCATGTTGGCCAGGTTGAACTTGAACTCCTGACCTCAGGTGATCTGCCCGCATCAGCATCCCAAAGTGCTAGGGTACAGGCATGAGCCACTGTGCACGTGGCCTAATTTTTAGTAAAGACGGAGTTTCACACCTTGGCCAGGCTGGTCTCAAACTCCTGACCTCAAGTGATCCACCCACCTCGGCCTCCCAGAGCTGGGATTACAGGCATGTGCCACCGTGCCTGGCTCCATGAAATGTTAATACCACAGATAAACTGTACAACTGCTTATGTACTCTGTGTGTGTGTGTGTGTGTGTGTGTGTGTGTGTTTTATACATTAAAAGCATAAATACACATACTTTTTTTCATTCCCCCAAGAACAAATTTTTGTCCCTTGGGGGCGATATTGCCCCAGTGAAAACGCAAGCTCCACCTGGGCAGTAGTATTGCGAACAGCTGCTCTGTTTTTGCTCACTGGTTGATGATTGGTGTCTAATCTTTGAGCTCCTTTTTATGGGCCCACCTTTCTTTGTGCCAGGAGCTGTAGTAAATGCAGACATACACTTCTGTCACTTACAAGGGCTAAAATGTATGTTCTAAAGACATTTTTGATATGTAATCGTTGCTTGTTGTATTGACTTGACCCACCCAGATCTCCTAAAATCTGTTCCTAAAAACAAAGGTCCGTTATAGTGGCTCATGCTTGTAATCCCAGCACTTTGGGAGGCTGAGGCAGGCAGATTGCCTGAGGTCAGGAGTTCAAGGCCAACATGGTGAAACCCCCCGCCTCTACTAAAAATACAAAAAATTAGCTGGGCATGGTGGTGGGCACCTGTAATCCCAGCTACTGGGGAGGCTGAAGCAGGGAGAATCGCTTGAACACGGGAGGTGGATGTTGCAGTGAGCCAAGATCATACCATTGCACTCCAGCCTGGGCAACAGAGAAAGACTCCATAAAAAAAAAAAAAAAGCCCAAGCAGAAAAAAAAAAAAAAAAAAAAAAAAAAAAAAAAAAAAAAAAAACAAAAAAAAAACAAAAAAACACCAACAAATGAAAAAAAAACCCTGGTTAGTTTGAGAATTATTTGCCTCTTATGAAAGTGGGATAGGCTGGCCATGGTGAATCATGCTTGTAATCCCAACACTTTGGGAAGCTGAGGCAGGCGAATCACCTGAGGTCAGGATTTCAAGACCAGCCTGGCTAATGTGGTGAAACCCCATCTCTACTAAAAATACAAAAATTAGCTGGGTATGGTGGCATGTGCCTGTAGTCCCAGCTACTTGGGAGGCTGAGACGGGAGAATTGCCTGAACCCAGGAGGTGGAGGTTGCAGTGAGCCAAGCTTGTGCTTCCAACCTGGGAGACAAAGCAAGACTCTGTCTCAAAAAAAAAGAAAAGAAGAGAAAAGAAAGAAAGTGCAGTTGTAAGACATCCTAGGTAATGACTACTTTTGGATGGAACTGTTTACTCAATAGTTGCCTCAAGATGTGAGAATTGAGCCAGGCACAGTGGCTCACACCTGTAACTCCAATGCTTTGGGAGGCCGAGGCAAGTCATGTTCACTTGAGACTGGGAGTTCGAGACCAGCCTGGGCAATATAGTGAGACCCCCATCTCTACAAAAAATTTAAAAACTAGCCAGGTGTGGTGGCAGCCACCTGTAATCCCAGCTATTCAGGAGCTGAGGCAGGAGGGAGGATTGCTTGAGCCCAGGAGTTTGAGGCACAGCGAGCCATGATCACACCACTGCATTCCAGCCTAGGCAGCACAGCAAGA